TGAGTTTGAGCCATTCAAGCGCATCCGCCACTTTGTTACGCCGTACTAGCATGGGTGTGCGCTTATACTCCTTAGAGGTTGGTTGGTTAGGTCCAAGGTACAAGAATGCTAACACTTCGCTCAATTCCTCACATCTAGGTGGCAGCACAGAATATATCTTGGGCATGGGAAGTGAATGGCTGGACCACATTAGCACGTAGCTTGGACATGCCTGACATATGGACCTTGACAATGCAGTGGTTATGCTTTACACGTGCTATCAGCATTTTCTCAGTGAAACTCAAATTTTGTAGCTGTGGTGGGACCTCTCCAAGCCATAGACCATTTGCCAGACTGTCTGCAGGAGTACGACCTTCTTTGAGTTCTGATAAGCATGACTGACAAATATTATCACAGCCAGGAAGAGTGACCATGTTGTCTGACATCAGCAAATTCTGATCATATTCTTCCTTGATGATGGACAGCAAGTGCTTTTGTGGTATAAGCTGGGCGCATACTGTACAAGCAGACTCATGGAAGTCAGAAATATCTGTGGCAAAGTCTTGGACAATATCCTTACATCAATGAGCAGAAAGATACAGAAAATGTGTTTCGCGCGCGCGGGCGCTTATTTCTGCGGATAACTGCGCCGGGCTCCCTGCAGCACACAAATAACGGGCACTATTTTTCTGCGTCGTCTGTGTTATTTGATTGCTCGTGCTCGCTGTCTCTCTCATTCATACTGCATCCTCTTCCACTCTACTCCCAACCTGCTGCAATGCCGCTGATGAGTTTTCAAAAAGTGTTCATGGTCCATTTTGTTGTTGCAGATACACTGGATCCAATTTAATGGTGTGTCCGAGGTGTCATCATCCAATGGGCTGCACTTAGTAGTGCAGTATGAATTCTGTTAGTGCTACAAGACTGCATGACTCTTTCAGGCTGTGTTCAGCACACCAACATCTTACCTCCACACTGACATGCTGTATGTTTGCGCAAAAACTGACTGTCTCATCATGCAAGCTGTCACCACACATCCAAAGCTTACAATTCATGTAGGTCTTCTTCTCCTTCAGAACAACTTGCTCATCATGGAAGTTACTTTCACAGGCATAATGGCCACCAGCCAATTTACAGGACAGACAGACCATCTATGAATACCCTGATTTTCAGCAGTTTGTCAATGCTATCCTAGCAAATAGAGATGGACACCACCTGCACATGGACTAGATGTGATACTGCCTTGTTGACCACCTGCTGCTAGGATTCAACAACCCTCACCGGTGTGCTGTGGCTGCAGAGAAAGCAATAGGCCACCAAAACATGACCCCTTCTCTTGATCACCGATGCACAGATCCTGCACCCATGATTCACACTAGCTGCAGACAAGCCAGTTTCTTCCTCCCTCACTGATCTGATGTGTTAGTCATGAATGAGGTCAACTAGACACAAAGAAAGGACAGATAGGAAGAGGTCCAGAGGAAAAGAAATGAATAGATGAATGGTGGCAAGGGCACCAAAAACACAGTCCAATAGCTGCTGGGCATGAAGATGTCAGTACCAGCAACGGTCTGGTATGGTCTCGGGCTGTGCAGTAGGTGGAAATCCACCATGGGTGCGACAGCCAGAGAAAGGTTTAGAGGTCACATCTCCTAACACCTTGATGAACTATGTGGGACATGCATTCAACCAATGCATGAGCTCGTCCTTATTGTCTTTTCTCGAAGGTGCCATATTAGACAGCCTTTTCACAACCGCTTCACACTGCTCAACAGAGAGGGCTCAGTGCCTGTCTCAGGGTATTTCCCTGATTTGGAGTTCCTGATTTGGAGTTCACTGTGCACCTCCCCAAGCTGAGCCCTAGGTGGTATCGCCCAGGTAGAGCTTTTCACAGGTTTTTATACAGCTTTCAAAGCTTGCAATGAACCCCAAAATTCGCTATGGCCTGTATCATACATTTCAGGTTGCATGGGAGGCCTGTAGAGTGTTGTGTACTACTGATCTTCCATGTCTGCAGGAAAGTGTTCACACGAGCACACAGATCAACACCTGTCCATTCAGACACTACTGCATTGGCAAGGAGCATGTCTGTGATCATTGCCCACGGTGCTTGAATGTCCATGATAGTAAGGTACACCTTCAACCTGTCAGAAGTCCTGAGGGGAGGGCGGATGAAAATGAATTAAAGTGTAGAGGACATGGCTGTAGGCCGCATACTTATATACTAATTACAAGCAAATGTTCGAGTGCTACTAAGTAAACACTTACTAAGTGTAACCTAATCGAGAACTTATACCAACATTTGAGCGCTAAATCGCGCATTTCAACACAACCACATGAGGTCTATTGCTTCATTCTGTGCCCATATGTCCAGAAGGTTAAGACTTCCTTCACGTGTTGGTAGGTGCAAGGTCTCCCTGCTCACCTGCAGGTGGGTGTTCCCACTCCAGATGGATTTTGCTACTATTTCTGTGAGTTTCTTTTCCACACTCTATGGCATCATCTGCACCGTCAGGAACTGGGTAGGGCCTCCTACTTCCATACCAACAATCAGCTTCCACCCGTAGAGTGAGGGATTGCTTTGCCCCCACCTGTGGAGGTTGGCCTCAATTTTCTCGATCACTGGCTGCCAGGACATGCCCAGCTTTGTTCCATTCCTAATCCATGTGCCCAGGCATCTAGCTTCTCCATCCTGGATGATATGGACACTGTCCAGGATGGGCAAGCTGCGCTTGTGCATCCTTTGCGACTCAAGCATTCTTGCATGGTAGGTTGGGGACCCAATAGGGAGGATTTCAGTCTTTTCACAATTGAAATGTGCTTGTGAGGCACAGCATACTGAACCACAGAATACTCATTGTCTTTGCACAGGTATATCATTGTATTGTCAGCAAAGAGATTTAATAATGGTGAGCCAGAGGGCATTTAGGGTGCCATGCCTCCGTCAGATGACTCTTCAACGTGGTGCGGTGCCCTCTCAATTGCTCTGGCTCTGCTTCATTGGCACACCCGGTGGCACATCTCAGGCGGTGGTCAGGTAGGGTGTTTTTACAGCGAGATGATAGTGGAGAGAAGCCAGGGGAGCCATGCATTCAAATTGCCACACTATGAGGGAGATGCTGATGCCAAAATGATCTTGAAGCTGCATATGGAGTTCATCAAGGTATAGTGTAGGTTTGGTGGCCAACATGGTCTTGATATGCTCCACCATGGGTGTAGAGAGGAGGCGAAACCGGCCAGGGCTTAGTGCGAGAGGGTTGTGGTGCCATACCGCTGGAGGTAGAAGAGAGTTTTGTAGACCAAGGTAGTATATGATCCCCAGCGTAGCACTTTGTTTTTGTATGAGGGTAGTTCAGGGTACGCATTTCTGTGGCTGAAGAGAGCTCCGAGAGGTGCTTGTGCAACTCTCCTACACGGGATTGCGACCAGAATGCTGTGCATGCAGCTGCTAGGGCGCAGACGTCTTCTGGGCTGCCTGGATTGAGATGCTTGTGTAGTAGCTTGAGCATGTGCATGATGATAGGCAACCTAGGAGGTCTGCCATTGGGTGCAAGGCATTCAACGTCGTTGAGCATGTGCCTGAGTCTTGCCCTGCCCAACCAAGTGGTTCCTTGCACCACATGGCATGCCTGCATGGCCGATAGATTGTTCTGGACTGAACCCTCGATGTGCATGCCAGCAAAAGATGCTGCAAAAGCACAGAGTAAGTACCAAGGGTGCAGTTGGATGGCTACAAATAGCTAATGATTGGATAAGACCTATCATTGAAAACAAATGGTGGAAACATCAGGATAACTAGACCATGGGTGATGAGACATATGGTACAAGGATGTGGGGCAATTTTACAGTAAGTGGTAACATGTCAGAGTGTTGTCTTTTGAGGCAACCCATACAGTCCTAACCCAGACACCAAGAAGGTATCAGACAGACGAGCACACCACCATTCCACTTCCACTAGTGCGGCTGTAGAGATTTGGTGTTTGGTGAAGTCAGACTCGTGTGAACAGAAACCGACCAAGAGCTGGTACAGAGAAGGTACCCTAGAGCAGCCTTCTGGGAGAGTTAAATAACAGTGGTTCAGGGTGCCCACCACCACTTCAACATCCTTTTCCACAGTGGAGGCGCCTGTGACCCAAGGTGCAAGATGCAGGATTTTGACTGTGTGCACAGGGATGTCCCAGAGAAAGCCTGCATAGACAAAGGAAAAGGCGAAGGGAACATGCTTGGGGATCGACCACAGCCAGCCTAGTGAGTGGCCCACAGAATATTGCATGCACCCTCAGACTCACTGGAATAATGGCAGGACGGGCTGCTTCCTGTCCTTGGGTTTTGCCTTCTCGACCATCTGCCATGGAGCATCTGCCTGTATGTCTTCAATTGGGAATGGATCACCAATATTCCATGTTAAGGCCCTGTGCATTGTCTTTGGCATGAACTGCTCTCCCTTCCACTTTCTGAATGAATGGATGAGTTCATTGTGTGTGATGCCTGTCACTTTGGGTGAGATCTTGCCCAGGTAGCGCAGCTTGGTGATTTCATCCAGCAACTCAAGCTCTCTGAACGCCTGACGCAGACTTCCAGATATTCCTCCGGTCAGCTTTCTTGGGTCAAATGGCTGCACAATAATGGTCCCATTATATGTGGATCCTCTGGACAGGCAGGTGTAGATTGACTGGTGAGAGCGGCAATTCTGCAAATCACACACATTATGTGGCCGTGTA